GTGTTGTGCATCGACAAAAAAAGGCTTTTCCCGGCTCATTGTTCTTGTTTTGGAAAAACTAAATATGCCGGTGTACTGCTATAAGACACCGCTGCCTTCACTGGAATGTGGCTCAGGCCTCCCTGACCACCATCTGTAACCTTTCAAGACTGAGGGATCAAAGATGTTTAGCGTACCTTGGCGGACAAGTGAATATCGAATTGTATTGAATGTATCCGATCGTTGCTTGCACAATAGAAGCTGTGAATGAGACCGATCCCACGACTTGGTGAACAGGCAGGAAATCTCTCCGTAGATTATCGCTGGTACCCGGCACAAGGAAGTTAACGAAACCGAAGAGGAACTGAAAAAGTAATTTAGGTATTGGTGATCAGAGGCACTTCTCTTCTCCTCAGCTTGATCGACGAATTTTTTTGGGTGAGGTAGTGTTGAAGGAGCACACAGTGTACGTAACTCTACTGCAGTACGTCATAATAATTGAAAAAAATTCACACTCATAATGTTTTCTGAACAGGAGCTGTCAACAAGTTATCTGGTGTCGGTCGGGAGATCCACTTTGCGGCGACGCAGCTTTCCAAGTCACGCCACTGCATTCAAGACCATAATGGAATTTTTCTAACGTAGAAGTGCTTCAAAACATCGACAGAACTAGTTGCAAATAAAGGTTCGCAGTGCGCGTCGCTGCTGTGGACCTTCTGACTGACATCACAACATTTCGAATATTTCATGTTGCGGGATCAGCCTGTTCCAGTTTAGGCCAAAAGCTAATTGTGCATTCTCCTCGAAGGCGATCCTTGCTGTGCAAGGCGAATGGGTCCGCAGCTGCAGTAGTGTGCCACTATCTTTCTCCAGAAAGGACGGGAACGGGGCTGGGTGTAGTGATACGTGAGTGCCACCGCGATACCGAAATCTCGCAGCGAACACGCACTCGGAAGCAGGGATTTGTGTGACATCTAATCCGTTCTATGCGGCGAGAGTGCAAATCTCCCCTAGCTGTCGGTACTCTCTCGTTCTCTCGCACTCGGATCGACTGAACGGTAATCGCGGGTTCTTTTTCAAAATTACTTGGACTCACTAGTAGAACGGTAAGTGCTACAGTCAACCTGTTGACTTTTGGGAGGTCAACAAAGGCTTAAGAGTTTTCTAAGTCACAGAGTGCATCCCCACAGTTTTCATTTCCTTATGTTCACATGAGTCGGGATCTTTTGCATGAATAAAATGTGTCTACCCGGAACTTTCGTGCAACAACCCCTCCTTGGGTTTCGCAGAAGCTCAGCGGGAAGGAATTAGAAAAAAAAAACGATTTTCCCGAGTTCACTTGACATCTGAGTTCTTTTTCCTCAGTAGTGTTCACATGATTATCCAGGTGAAGTGTTTCGATACCCATGATGACTTCAATCACTTCATTTTGGTCAAGTATACACTGCCCTTAGTGCAGAAGCGTGCTAATGTCTAAGGTTATCTTCGTTTACTACTGAATAGCTTAGCCTCCACCAATATTCTCAATATCACCCTGCTCACGTTGAGAGCAGGCTGACCGTTCTTCAAGTTGGTGAGTCTCTCTGCGTGCCTGACCGCAGCGTGCTCTCCCGTCTGCGTCTGGCCTCGAGAACGAGACGCAGAGAAAAAAACGGATTAGTTGTCCTAAGACCGCAGAGAGCACCCGAACGTGAGCGCGCGCAGACAAGTAGCGCGCTTGCCTCGGGTTAGGCGTGTGGCTGGCCGTAACCCGGATGGAAAGGCACTAGAGAATGACTGTTTTGCCGCTTCGTCCTAGTTTACTTTTGAGTTGAGAGAGTGACGCGACTTCTAGGACCACTTCAACTCGCCCATGTAAGATCCAGGATCCAGGGTGGCAAAGAGTGTGTAGTCTGCGCGGCGAACTGAGACACAAAAAAATTCTTTACACTGTTACCAAATGAAAAAATGTTACTTGGTATCTGGTGCATTTAATCTATGATGGATTTAGCTGTTCCACATATGCAAAATGTTTTTCATTAGAAATGTCAGTGACTCTATGGCACGCTGTCCATCGCGTTAGTGATCATCTCTGGAAAAACTCGGTTCCCTAATTCAATCCCCATATACGACCCCCCTCCCCGTTGTGATCATCACACGATGGCGTGCCCTGCGTACCACACATGTGGATGAATCCATTTGAGGTTGTTGTAGTGAATCTGGATTGAGACTGCTAAAAAGGCGGTAGAGAATAGAATTCGTGATGCCCCGATTTGTAGTTACCATTGGCGCCAATACAAACTTCAGTGCCTTGAGCAAGTCTTCGGACCAAAGACATTTTTTTATTTACAGGTCCACGGCGTCAGGCTGACGGCCGCCATTTTTATTACAGGATTCTAAGGGCAAAGTTTAAGTACGCCCTACTGCTTCAAATACTGCCAGCGACTGCTAGACTGCGATGTTCAATTTGGGGTCCAAAAAAGTTCCAAGTCACGAGGTGGTTATCTTGTTGCCCGACATTCCTTGGATGACTCGACACATCTAAACATGACTCATGTACGTATGAACAATTATTATCCAAACGAGAGGGTGTGTGAGTGGGGGAGGGCAGGTCAGCGCGGAGCTAGGGCAACCTTTTCAACCAAACGGTGCTTTCCTGAGTCGGCCACAGTTGGTGGAGAGGCTACCATGGCTGCGCGCCAATCCATGTCCCCTCAATCGCCTTCTCGTTTGCAGAGATAATGACTGTACCACCCATCTACACTGGTTGGTTTCGCACTTTTGTGAAAATCTGTTGCATTACAAAATTAAGTTCATTGAGAAGCTGTGACCAATAACGCCGTTGCCTTGTTAAAGGCAGGGAACGCCCACTAGGCTTAGGAACCGCCCTGAACGACACCTAATTTGTGTCAAAAGAGGACTGCTGATTACTGCGACAAGATGAGGAATACGTAGCAGTGGCTCGTATGAGTTGCTGTTCAGTCAGGGCTCAAGTGTGCAAACGTTTCCTTTAGCCATCACTTCTCTGATAGCACTAGAAAATGAACTCTCCCACTATCCTACTATATAATGTCGTCGACGTCGACGGGAGGTGGGAGGACGGG